GAACTTTTTTTGAAAAAAAAAACAATGTATCATGGTTTCCACAAAAATATTAATCTTCGCAATTGTTTTCGACATTGATAAATATAAGAAATGTTTCTTGAGCAGCAAATCTGAAAATTATTTCTGAAAGATCACGTGACACTGAAGATTGGAATAATGGCTGCTAAAAATTCAGCTTTGCCATCACAGAAATAAATTTTACATTTTAAAATGTATTAAAATAGAAAAGAGTTATTTTAAAGGGGTCATATGATGCGATTTCAAGTTTTCCTTTCTCTTTGGAGTGTTACAAGCTGATTGTGCATAGATAAGATCCCTGAAGTTGCAAAGACTAAAGTCTCAAATCCAAAGAGATATTCTTTATCAAAGTTAAGACACTGCCACGCCCCCCTAAAACGGCTCGTTCTAACACGCCCCCACATATCTTCAGATTACGTACAACAGAACAGCAATGCATTTTATGGACGACCGTTTCATGAACCTAGGAGAGGAGGTAATTCTGACTTTGCTATGACAATCTGGCGCTTCTGAATCAGCTACTGTTTTGTTATTAGTTTAAAGGGGTCATATGATGCGATTTCAAGTTTTCCTTTCTCTTTGGAGTGTTACAAGCTCTTGGTGCATAAAGAAGATCTGTAAAGTTGCAAAGACTAAAGTCTCAAATCCAAAGAGATATTCTTTATAAAAGTTAAGAGTCAGCCACGCCTACCTAAAACGGCTCGTTCTAACACGCCCCCACATACCTACGTCACTATGTGGGAAGATTTGCATAACACCGCCCAAATGTTCACGCAAAGAAAGAAGACGTAACTTTTATTCTCGCTGTAGTATAGTTGCTGCCGCCGCCATGTCGTGAAGATGCTGTGTGATTCGTTGTGAAAGCGAAACTACTTTATTTGGTCTTCTAAAAGAGGACGATATCTGCTTCATCATGCCTGGAGCTGATCCGTGCTGGTAACTGAGGAAATACATCAACATCGCGCTGTGCATCGCCGGATCGGCTTTCACCGTGGAAGAAGCGGAGTCCAGCCCGGGGTCGTCAAATGTGGTTGCCACTCCTTCGTCGTTCTCGACCCCGCCGCCTCTGCTCACTCTAGCCCGGCCTCAGCTCACGCTAAGCCAGGGCTTCCGCTCACGCTAGCCCGGCCTCAGCTCACTCTA